GGTAAAGGAATATTGGACAATCCCCTAATACAGGCTATTTATATTGATTCATAATGGGTTGTGATGTTTTCTGCGTTATACTTGATGAGGATGGGTTATTCAACCGCCGAGGCTACACGTCCAAGCTTTGCAGGTGTTGAATGCAAAGCTCAACAGTTGAAAAATGAGCTACAGCTAGAGTACAGTTCAGGTAGACGAACGATACATGTATAACTCGCTGCGGGTTAGTAGGGAACAAGGGAACATATGCCCTGACACGCCCTGTAAGACCCCTATGTAATATGATATTCTCAAGCCACCAGCAAGACTGGCCTTGCCCAAGAATGAGATTCTCTCAGGCTGGTCCTGGCCGCGGTGCAGCAAACCGGCTCAGCGCTGGCGTTTGCAGCGCTTGCGCTGAGATGCGACAAGGAGGCCTGAGGTCCCAGCAGCTCTATGAGTGGCCAGGAGTTTTTTGTTCTTGATTAACAATGATGTGACTTGTGTTGGATGAACTCGGAGGTGGTCGGAGCTGCCGTAGACTGCCAGGGCCTGGCGTTAAAGCATGCGGCGGATGAGCTGCAAAGCGACCCGGGCCTGGCACTGCGGGCTGTGGCGCAGGATGCCAGCGCCATGGAGTATGTGGCAGAGGCTCTCAAAGATGACCGGAACTTTGTATTGGAGGCTTCTTGAGAAGTTTTCAGCAAAAGAAGTTCTCTGCAGGGACTAATAATAATGGTAATATTAATACTAGTAGTAGTAAGAATATTAGGAATAATTGTTTTAGGTTTAATGGAAAATGGAAACTACTATAGTATATTGGGGCTATAATGGGGAAATCTCATTGAGGCTGTGAGGCACAGCGGTGCCACCCTGCAGCATTTGCCGGCCTTTGCTGCAGACCGGGAGGTTGTGCTTGCCGCGGCGCAGCAGGACGTAACTTGCCTGAGTTGAAGAGATCTCAAGCGAGGCTGAGGTAAACAGCTTGTGCATTTGTGCAATGTACATGGCAAGATATGGCAAGCGTTAGTGTGGTTGCATTTGGGAAGCTGAAGGTCACAGCACTAGGGTTTGCCTATGCAGAGTTGCGCGGAGACCCAGACGTCATTTGCGCTGCCTTGCAGTGGGATGCCTCGGCCGTGGTCTATGCGACCGAGCTGGTGCACAGCAGGGACTTCATCCTGAGAGCTCTTTCGGTGAACCCGAAGGCGCTCTCATACCTACTGGAATATCAAGGAGATAGGCACATGGTGCTGCAAGCTGTGGCGGACGATGCCAGCACAATGCGCTTTGTCTCAGATGAGCTTCGATGTGATGATGAATTCGTGCTGGAAGCCTTCGCTCGTGCCCCTGAGTCCCTGAAATATGCAGCAGCCTTGACCTTTGAAGATGACGACTTCATGCTGAGAGCCATTGCATGCAAACCCTGTGCCCTCGGCTTCGCTTCGCATGATATGAGAGCAGACGCGGCCTTCATCATGGAAGCCATAGATGTAGACCCGGACGCCTTCGAATTCTGTGGTGTTGACTTGAAGCAAGATGCCAGATTTCTGTCCGAGGCTGCTTGCCAGGCACCTGCAGTGCTGCAACATGTGGATGCCAATTTTTTGGGAGATGATGACTTTTTGCTGAGCATCATTGCTGAGCGTTCAGAAGCCATATGTCAGTTACCCGCATGGCGCAGAGAAGACAAGGACGCTGGTGAGAGCAGGTTGCGAACAAACCAAACCTCTATTGTTGAGAGTGCTCTGCAAACACACAGCCCAATCCACGATGGAAATCCGATTTGCTAGACAGAACGCCAGACTGCATCCCAGCCCCAAAGAGAGCGCACTTCTCCCAGGACTTGATGCTGCGAGCCGTGCGGAGCAACGCGTCCGCTATCAGGAATGGGCATCCAAACATGCTAGAAACGTAGAACCCTGCAAGCCAGGCATCGAGCAGTCCTCATGTGCTTGCAGCTTGCTTGAGACCTTGCAGATATGTGAACAGCGATGACGTGGAGCTTGTCCAGTCGGCTCTGCGCTTGCGCGGAGACGAGCCATGGCTGCCATATGGGTTGTTCCCAAAATTATGGGCCCCTTTTGGTTACAGACATAGATTATATGGCGGCATCTCACATTAAGGGGTACCAAGATGGGACCCTAATTTTGGGAATTACCCATATCGCTCAAGATGCGTAGCTGACGTTCGGGTGATGCTGACTCCGCTCCCCTGCAGCTGAGGCCCTGGCCTTCCTGGAATTCCCATCCAAGCTCGCTGTGCTCGAGGCTGTGTGGGCCCCAAAGCTCACACAGCTGGGTAGATCGAACAGTTCGCGCACCCCATACAGAACTCCCAGCTAAGAGGGAGTCGTCAGAAAGTTTCCAGAGAACCTGTACTGCATTGTTGCACTATCAAAGGCGCTCAAATTCCCAGTATCCCGATTGCTCAGTTACTGGTAGTGGTGGTTGTAAATACAGGTACTGGTACAGGCATATACTTACCTCATATCTACAGGTAAGTTTGCTCATATGATGCACGCGATACATATATATATATATATATCTATATACACATATGCGCATGCTTAAGGCATGTTTACATCATATTCATACACATGTGTAGATGTATGAATTACCTGCGTGTATATGCACATGTATGCATGTACATATACATGCACGTAAATTTTGCATATATGCAAACCTATATAGACGTACATCTAGTTATCTGCAGGAATATGTATGCACATGCATATGTATACATACACACAGACATGCACGCATATATTTTTATATACGTGTATAAAAAATTGCCTGCAATTTGGGCAGCAGTTTTTCTCCAGGTCCGCAGTCTCGGCGCTGCCCTTGCCCATGCTGCAGACGCAATGCGTGCAGACCCAGAGGTGCTTCACCTCTATGAGCAAAACAAGATTCTGCTATCAGTGTTACTGCTTCTATTAGTGCTGTGGCCACAGTTCCTTTTTTTGCCAGTGTTGCTTTTGCTGTTATTCTTTGTATGTTTTTGAATGCTATACCAGTTTGTGAGGTCAAATTATCTCCTCTTTTGGTAGAACTTCTGTAAAAGAAAACATACTCCTACTTGGCTCCACCACCACGACAACAATGCTCCTGTAAGGGTGTCCATACATAGGAAGCCCCAAAATAGACTCCAATACATAGGAGGCCCCAAAATAGACTCCAATAGATTACAATCCTGCTTACAGGGATTCGTGAAGGGGCCCTTAAATTTTTGGCATCATGTAGGATAGGTGTCCCAGCTGACTCCACGCCAATCCCTGACCACGGAGGTGTGCCTCGCGGCTGTTCAGGCAGATCCCATGGCTCTGGAGTTTGTGGCGGAGAGCCTGAAGGCTAAGTGCGGATGGGTTTGGCATTCAGGGTTTAGGGTTTAGGGTTCAGGGGCTTGGGGTTTAGAGGGAGAAAAAATGATATAGCCCAGGTAATGGCAACACAAATGGAAAAGAGCATGGAAATTGAAACAGGGCTCGTGTAGGGGTAAGTGACTACCTTAGGAGCTTGTCAGCTTGGGTTGTGTAGAGATACGGAATGTTCTGCATCACCATTGGAAGATCTTTGGTCCATCATTCCCGCCCCCAGGCTGACAGAGATTTCGTCCTGCCTGTTGTTGAGAGGGACGGTCGTGCTCTCGCCTTTGTTTCCGAGGACGCTTATGTGGCCCAGGGGAGTGGGAAGAGGGTAGTATCGAGGTTATATAATCCCTGTAGTTTCCATTTTATTTTCCCTTATCATCCCCATGTACTATAGTATGCTATAATATACTATAGTATAGTATGATATACATATGCTAGCTACGGAAAAGACCCGGAGGAGATGAGGGGAGAGGAGGAGCTCGTGTTGGCTGCGTTGCCAACGCACCGCGCCGCCTTCCTTCAAGCTAAGCCGACGTTGCGTGCCGAGAGGGCTTTCGTGTACCGCGCGGTTGGTCAAGCAGGCAAGGTGCTGGAGTATGTGGATGGCGAATTTCAGAATGATAAAGAGATTGTGCTGGAAGCTCTGGGCCGGGACCCGTCTTCGTTGCAATTCGCAGCTGACGAGCTCCGGAGTGGCCCCGGCTTCCTGTCGGAAGTCTTGGAAAGATTTGGCGTCTCTGATGACTTGGACTCTGCGCCGGAGGGGGATGTCCAGGACTGGGCTTCCACAAGAACCTGGACTCTCTCTCTACAGACAGCTTCATTTCAGCTGATCCAGGAGCTTCTGCAGCGAGTGCAGATACTGGAGGGTGCTGAGATATTGGCGCCTCGAGCGCAATGCGAATATCATAATTGGCAGGGTGGTAAACTTCATTTTTGTTGTAAACCTTCGCATGAGAATTGTGTGTGTGTGTGTGCGCCAGCTTACAAGTCTTGGAAGTAATATCTCCCTGCATCAGCCCCTTGTTCCATTTGCTTTTCGATTTGGCTCTCCGTTTATTGGTCATTATTTAGGCCAGACAGCTGTATTCCACTTTGCAGCGGCTTTCCCAGGTGGCGTCAGATCGGAGTGTTGTAGTGGGGCTGCGGCGGAGAAGCTTAGACTGCATCCTGCAAAGAATGTCTTTTGAGACAGCCTTGTAAGCTGTAAGCCCAGAACTTCAGTAGGACATGAATGCCACCTTCCGCCCGTTAGGCAAAGGTAGGCAAACGCCATGCATTGAGCGGCCAGGACGGTACGCACTGCTGAATTCTCTTGCTTCGGCCACTGCTTCTACATCGAATGAAGCGATCTACAAGGCCTTTGAATGTTGGTTTCCATTGCAAGGGAGGTAGCCGAAGCTTCCTGCAGATCATCATCAGTCAGATGAGCAATTAACAAGAACAGGCACTGGAGGAAAGCTACTTAAGTACGGAAATAACTTCGGAAAGAGGCCGGCAACAAATTCCGAAAAGGGCTTTCCGCTGTGCACTTCTTCGCTTGCGGAATCTTTTTTCAATCCTGCGAATCCCTATGCGAATCCTATGGGCATGGATGGTTAAGAACTTCGAAAGAAATTCTGCCGCGATGTTCCTGCCCAAACCCTAAACCCTAAAATGTTATGCTGTAGGCGTGCTGAGGGTGTTTTGAAAGCTGCCTGAGATACAGGGGGCGTGAGTTTGCCTGCCGAGATGGCAGCTTGGCTGGACGGGCTAATGCAGGGGTCCGTTGTCTTGAGCCCTGCTGGGATCTGCTGGGCCGTGCACTAATTAGTGCAACTCCCTCTTCGGGTCTCAACTGCGGGAGAAAAGGTCCCCCCCAAAAAAAGCCGGGGCTTGAGACGGATACGGCTGAAGACTAGAAATCCCGGAAGCGCCGCAGAAGCACCTGAGAAGAAAACGCCCGTGGGAAAACATCGGAACACATGCCAGCAGCCTTGTATGTAGTCTTCGCGGAGGACTCGCGGAAGGTTCGCGCAATCTGGCAGTCGGAAGCTCTTCTTTTTTTTTCTTATTTTAATTTCCGTTAAACTCATATTTATCTTTTCAACGGCTCAGACGTGTTTAGTCGGTCCGTGTGGGGTGCTTGTGACAAGCCCAGTGAGACACACCCAGGTCATTGTCTGGAACCTCCACAAATTCTTTGTCGTTTGCTGAGCCAGGTGCTGCAGAGTGGCGTGTTTTCCTTGCACAGAGTGCTACGCTCGCTGCAGCGCCTCAGAATCATTCGGATCTCTTGCCATGTCGTGGTGAACCATTGCTGCCGTGTGCTGTCGTTGGAGGTGGTTCCCAGATCTTTGGCACCACGCCCTTACGGAACATCAAGTCTTGCTGCGCCAACTGCCGGAAAGTCTCGAACGCCGTGGTGACAAGGCATTGCTGGTGGAGGCAACCCATCAGCAGGTGCTAAGCCTTCAGCTGCTTCCAAATCAGAGCAACGACCGAGATGTGGTGCTGGCGGCTGTCGAGCAGAATGGCTGCGCATTGGGACACGCAGCCTCAGCCCTGCAAGCGGACAGGCATGTCGTGTGTGCTGCTCTTAAAAACGATGCCTTCGCCTGCGTCTTTGTGGCCCCAGAAGCGCGAGACAGGATGATCCTCCTACAGGCCTTGCAACGGTTCATCGCTCGCATCAGAAGAGGCCGAAGTGAGCTGTTGGATCCTGGGCAGGTTTCTGACCTGGTTACACAGAGTGTGTTTCTGGCCGAGTCCTGCATGGAAAGCCTGGGTGCAGACGAGAGCCTTGCTGGAGAGGTCTTGAGATTGGCGTCTGGCCTGCGAGAGCTCGGAGCTGGATTTCCAACTTTGCGAGGCTTCGTGGCAGCCCAGCTGGAGGAGCCAGTCTTTGCGTTGGCCCAACGTGAAGAGTTGAGATCGAGCAGGACCTTTGTTCGGGCAGCTGTAAAGGAAGGCCTCTTCTGGCTACAGCACGCATCAGAGGAACTTCAGCAAGACCGTCGCTTAGTTCTGCATTCCTTGAAGCACGACCGCTTCTCGTTGCAGCATGCTGACCAGCACCTCCGTGAAGATCGCCGGGTAGTGCAGCAGGCCCTGGTGCAGAACGCCTCCTTATCCCTCAGCATGGCCTCAGATAGGCTCCGCGCCGACCAGCGCTTGGTGCTAGCAGCCATCGCGCAAAATTTTGCAGCCTTCGAGCATGCACATGCTGGATTGAAGTCGAACAAGCGCTTTGTGCTTTCCGCGGTGACGCTTGCCTGCAGATAGCTGAATTGCTTGAGACGAAAAAGAAGACGGGACGCTCTCACATGTTCCAGAGGCTTCAATCTCGACAGAGTTTCAGAATCGTCACCTGATTCAGCCCCTTGTGGGAGCCGAGGCGTCAATCAGGCCTTGCCCTGCAGCATGCTTCAGAATCTTTGCGAGCAGACAGAAATGTCGTGCTGGAAGCTGTCCGGCAGAACGTGTACTCAATGGAGTTTGCGGCGCAGCATCTAAAGCAAGACCGAGACTTTGTTCTGAAGGCACGCTGGCAGCAGGTGGAAGACAATTTGCATGTTCTGAGCAGCCGCATCCTCTTTTGGGCACCATTGCCGCAGCATGTTGCAAGCTAAGGCAACGGTCATCAACGGTTCAGCGCTAGAGCTCGCCGCCGAGGTGGTCAAGGCCAGCCGGCATGAAGATGTATTCACATATTGTGTCTTCAGGTATCTTGAGATTATGTTCTGCTGCGCGAGAGTTGATCTCCCCAGGCAACTAATTCGACCTTGCATGCTGGAGACTTGGCATTGGCTGCCAAGGCTGACAGAGGCTTCATGCTTCAGGCTGTTGAGCACAGCACTGAAGCCTTGGGACGCGCAGATACCTTGGTCAAGTCAGACAAGGACAACGACTGGGTTTCGTAGGGTGAAGAAGTTTATAGAGAAAGTCCAAGTCTTTGAGCCAATTGGGGTCCTAACCTGATTTCTAGGGTCCTAGCCTGGCTTCCACTTCGCTTCGTCGTCAGGATGTGGTGCTTCACGCCGTCGAGCGGAACACCATGGCCGCTTACGAAGCTGCAGGAGCGGTCCTGGACCGTGACTTCGTGCAGGAGGCCATTTCGCTGGGAAGTCCGTTTTGATTGCACAACGGTCGTTCCTGAACACTAGTGTGATTTTCTAAACCGGATGTGGCCAACTGCGCAGAGAATCTTGACACCAATGCACGATGATCATGATGCAGGCCGCCCACCGCAAGGGCCCTCTTTGTGGGGAGGTCATTGAAGAGGTGAAGGCGAGCTCATGCTTTAGTTGCGCATATCTGCACTCTTGTCAGAATCTACAGTCCAGTGGTACTCACGTCTATTTCAACAAAAAATATATATATATATATATATCACGAGTTGGGCATGCCTCTGCAACGGAGCGGCTGAACATTCAGATGTAGGAATTAGTCGATGTTTTGTGGCGATGTATCCAAGCCCGAGACTTGAGTCTCATCTCAAATTGCAAGGTCCAGATTGTAGAGCGTCATGAGATCAGGCCCCCAAGCAAGTCATCGCTCACCTCAAGTTCGGAAGCATCGTGGTAGAGCATACTCTGATCTGCGGATGAGATCTGGCACATGTTTATTGAGTTCCACGCCTTATCCTGGGAAATGCAGCTCTTTTCTGGCAGGAGGTGCGGAAGTTGCCCTTTCATAGTCGAGAGCCTGCGCTTCGTTGGCAATTAAAAAATTGCATTATATAGGGGTTGTATGGGAGTTATGGAAAAGGAAATAAAACTACTATGTTACTATAGCATAGCAGGATATATATATATTATATTATAATGGGGTTATATAGGATAGTATAATAGGGTATATATTAGGGATCATGGCCTCCAGGTCCTGGATTACTGGAAACTACTGTGCTACAGTATGTTGGGGTAATAGGGTGATAGCAGAAAAGCAGAAAAGAAAATGGGAACTACTACAGTATAGTTTATACAAGGATTATATAGGTAGTATATTGGGGAAATATTTGGATAATGGAAAATAACGTGGAGACTGCTATGGTATATTAGCTTCTCTCCTGTTGTTGAGGATTGGTTCGTGCAGCTCTACAGCTCCAAGTTCTCCTAGCCAGCCAAGGCCCCTGCAGGATTAAGATGCGTTGCACACCGCAAGCACAAGAAGCACAAGCTGCACTTAAAGGACCATATGATTCTTGAGACAGCCTGCCGTGGTGGCGAACTACGTTCAAGCTTCTGGCTGCCAACGGATTACGTCGGAAAGATTCCTCAGTCCTACCTGTAGGTGCTGTTTGCTCTAAAGATAGATGCGTTTGATTTGGGGTCTTGTGTCTCACAGCATTAGAGAAAAGCAAATAAAACAATTCGCCAGAGAGAAGGGCTGCCACAAGGCTTACAAGACAGCTGGCAAACACAAAGTGTCCATCGGTTTAGCGAGCCCGTGATTGCAGGTGACAATCCTGGCATTGCTGGTGGGCCCACATAACGATGCAGCACTGTTCAGGTTCCAGTTGCTATTGTCCTCCTGGGCTGCTGATTGGGCATTTCAAAGCCTGCCATTGCCTGGCATGAGAAGCGCCTTCAGGAAATACGAAGCGCGCGCCATGTTGGCGGACCTTCGCATCGCTTCACCAAAGAACCCACCGCCTGTTCAGGCCCTCTGGTGGCGGAACTCACTGAAATTGTGGCGAGATTGAGAATGACTCCTGGGCATAGCCAAGACGTAGCTGACGCAGGATGCTTTGCAAGCATTAGTTTCAGATGACATGACAGTTCCGCGTCGCGATCTTGGTAGGAGCATCATGAAAGGAGTTTTCAACATTCAGATTGGAAACTGTGATCAGCGCCTCTGAAAACGTTTGAGTGGATTTCATGGCACATTTTCATGTTCAAGCATCTGCTGTGTAGAATGTGGCCTCTCTGCCGCAAGAGAACTTTCCGGTAAATCATTCCACACCAATTTTCCTTGTTGATCCCAATGATGTGGCAGCCTCTGTAGAGTAAGGAGCCCCGTCGAACAGTGGCTGCTGACAGAGATTTCGTCCTGCCTGCTGTTCAGAGGGACGGTCAAGCTCTGGCATTTGCTTCTGAGGACGTAAATGTCGCCAGTGGCGGCCTGCGAGGAGTGTGGGATGTTGAGCCACCGAGCCCAGTAAAGCTCGGTCGCAGATCCTGCATTGCGCTGACAGAGAAAGAGACCACATGAGATTTAGTGGCAGAATACACCTCGAAGAGGAGATGGGGCTCGTGTTGGCTGCGTGGACAACGCAACGGCCGCCTTCCTTCAAGTTAAGCTGACGTTGCCCAGTGGCTTTTGTCTGCCGTTCGGTTGGTCAAGCAGGCAAGCCGATGGCGTACGTAGGTGGATGGTGAGCTCCAGAATGGCCTTGATGCAAGGACATCGTGCTGGACGCGCAGGGGCAGGATCCCTCGTCTTTGCAGTTTGCTGCTGAGTAGCTCTGGAGCAGGAACTCTTTCAAAGATTTGGCGTATCTGATGACTTCCAGTCTGCATCGGAGGGGGACGCCCAGAACTGGGCAATGCTTTACACCTCCTCTTTGCTACCATGGTTCGCTTAGATAATGGCTTGTTGAATGACTGCACCTGTAGAGCTTTGCAGCTTTGTGCGCGTGTTCAAAATGCTCAGATTTTGGTGACACTTGCGTCGTGGTTCGCCTCCGTGTTCCAGACATCTTTTGTCTTCGGGCTTTGCAGCAGATTCCATCGAGATGCAAGCGCAGTACCACTAGCTACACCAATTGCAGTGAATGCATCTGACGTCAGTAGCTTCTCAGACCCCTTACGCTCCCAATACTTCGTTCTAGGACCATCCTTTCAAGTTTTAACCTTTGCGCCATGCTGCCCAACATGAGGCGGGCGGTAGGAGAACTACGATCCAACTTAGAAGCCGGCATAATCATCAATGAGGTTGAGAATCATGCTTGCCAGACGCTTCCTTGTCTTTTAGCGAGGCCAGTGCAGGCTGCACTGCGCATTTCTGCTGCGTGCCTAGATGAAAGAGGGTTGACGAAGCACGTCCTTGCCTGCCTCTTTGAGAAGGGCCACTTTCAGTTTGGACTTGCCTGTCGTGTGCACTGAGGCCGCGAGACTTGCTGCCCAGCGGCTACAGGCTCCATGTCTGAGTGCAGAGTTCAGTCCTGTCAGTGCGGCTGATGGTGGCGGGTGGGATCAGAAGAGGCTGCTACACGATGTGGGCTCCGGTATGGCAGCACCATGGCCCAGGCGCAGTGGCTGTAAAGAGATATCAGGTCTGCAGCCATGCCAAGAGCATCAGCAGGGGCAGTGAGCTGCGCAATTTCCGTTGCAGGAGCGGACTTCTAGCCCGCCGTTCCCCATGACTCCGCCCCAGCCTGCGAGCCAGGCCAGTTTGGTCCTAGGCAGAGGAAAACTTCGCGAGTCTTGGGGTGGGGGAGGAACCTGAGCCCGCAAGTGTCGAGGACCACCGGGGCATGCGACTGATATTGCTGAGTGAGACAATACCAGCGTGTTCAAGACTTATGGCAAAGTCTTCACACGCAAGTTCGTCGACCCTGCGCTGCGCGGAGGATGCTGGAGCCACAATTTTCAGCCCATCGCCAGAGCACCAGGCGCGTTTTGTATGTGGGGTCCCTTCTGCCCGAGGTAGACCAGCCACTGCATCATCAAGCAACGCAAAGCTGAGACCAATACAGTAACACTCACCAGGAGGTGCACTTCAGAGTGCCGGGGTAAAGCGACATAAAACAGAATGGATGCCAAGCCCCAGCTCAGCTGTGAACTGCCCAGTGGCCCCAATCAGATTTCTCTTCCCTTGCGCAGGCCCTGCGCGAGATGGTCAGGTCTTTTGCGGAGGCAGAGGTAGAGCAACAGGCGTGTTCGATGGGTCTGCGTTGGAATGACGCTGCCTGCTGCATCATGCTGCCATCAAGTTGTGCTCGAACTGATTGAGCCTTCATGCACTTCTCAGCATATTTGGCTTTGCGTATTCGCGAGGCCATTGAGTTCAATCGCGAGGAGAGGATGAATTTGCTCGAGACTCAGTACTTAACATGCCTGGAAGGAAGATGTCTGAGAAGCAAGCAAAGTGATATAATAGCAAAATAATTCTAGCATAATAGTAGTATAATAGTAATATAATAGTAATATAGTAGTAATCTAGTAGTAATATAATAGCAATATAGTTGTAATATAATAGTAATAAAATAGTAGTATTCGTAGTTTATAGTAATATAATAGTAACAATCAGGCCCCTCTTCCGCAAGCTGGGAGAGCTTGGCCTGTTGGGCGTCACCGTGCCCGAGGCCTTTGGGGGCTTCCCAAAAATCAGGGGTGCCTTCTAAGGGGATAATAGATACTGTAATAGAGGTCATAGGGAATATATATATATATGAGGGGACAATAGATAATAGGGGTAATAGGGAATATGAAGGGGTTACATACATGGGGGTTGTATAGGGTTCAGGGTTTCCTGCAATAGGGGTAACGTTCAAGGGGATAATAGGGGTAAAGGGTTTGGGGGTGTCCTAGAATTAGGGGTACCTTTCTGGGAGTCCCTATGATGAGGATTATCGAGGATTATCGTCATGGGGTCTAAATGGGTTTTTCCCTATTTACGGAAACTACCGTATTGCTGTTTCACGCATCCTGAGGCGTTTGAATCACGATGCAAGTTATCCATATTCGTGGTTAGCAGGGAAAAAAGGAATATCTTATACAGGGACTATATAGGGCTTCTAGTCCCATATTCCCTTCTAACCATCAGTAAGTTTTTATGCTGAGCTTATGCGGCAGAAGACTGAGCCGAGCACTTCCTCCAAACGCTCCAGGAGTACGGCGGAAGCGGTATGGACGCCACGGCGGCTGTAATTGTTCACGAGGCAGCTGGGAGACGGTATTTTTGGCTTCCATGATGTCTCAGACTTAATGGGTTTGTAAAAACGTGTCGATTTTTTGCATTTGATGCCTAGGACCAATTACAGTGATGCTGATTGCAGGAGCTGGCTGCTGTCGACCCTGCCTTTTGCCTGGCCTACCTGGTGGGGCACAAACCACACGTCTTTGTTGTCCAGATCAGATGATTAGAACTGAGAACCTGCGTGCTTGCCGAGCAGAGCAGGCCCACAGCATGCTCTTCGTGAACAACCTCGCCCAGAACGGGAATGAGGCGAAAAGACAGCTTCCAAGTTAATGTTCGATAATTCAGAAGCTCTTGTTGTTGTAGTTGGTTGAAAGAGAATCAAGTCCTGTGATGAGCCTACAGCAACTATCCTGAGCCCAGTGCAGGCCCAGAAGCAAAAGTGGCTGCCCTCTGCGGTAGATGGCTCCAAGGTTTGTGGCATGTCCAAGCCTCAACGCATTGCGCCCTCCAGGATGCACAACAACCTCACACTGAATGGACAAAAGAGCATTGTAAATTCAGGTGCATGTCCGAGCCGGCCGCCCTGCCCTGAGACTTTCTGCAACACAAGGATAATATTGGGGTTATATAGGGATAAGGAAAAGAAAACGGAAACTACAGGGATTATAGGGGTTATATAGGGATAATGGAAAAGAAAATGGAAGCTACAGGGATTATAGGGGTTATATAGTGGATGAGCATCACGATCTAACGCTGAAGAAGATGTTCAGCATCAGAAAGTCGCTTGAGGTCGGCACTGATGTGCTGGGTATGAAGACGACAGCCGTCCGCGAGGGCGACGAGTGCCCAACAGAAGATGACTGTGGGCTGATTTATATCATATCATATGAGCCATTGTCTAAACTCCTAGTATCTCCCTGAATAAGCCCTATAGTAGCCCCCTATATAATCCCTTATTTGGAGCTCTGCCATGCAAGGCGCACGCAGAGCTAAACCAGCATGAGTCATGTGCGCGCAATGTCTTTGTGGAGTACTTTTTGACAGAGACCAGGTGTCAGGGATTTAGATAATCCCCTCACCTCGTTTTCTGGTCAGTTTCTGGCACCCCGTTTGATCCTCCATGCGTTGTTTCCAGGTACGTCATCAATGGCGCAAAGATGTGGATCACAAACGGGACTCTTGATGGCAAGGACACTGGCGACGCATACCTTGTCGGAGCCTTGCAGGGCTTGGTGCCTGCGTACCGAGTGACATGCAGACATGGTGCTGCCTGAAGTCAGGGGTACATAGGCGTACTTTTTGCGGGTTCCTATAATAGGGATTATAGTATATCTGGGGGTCCCCGTATTCATGGAAACTACCAAGTGATCACTGAGGTGTATGCTCGCACGGGCAGCACAGCAAGGGACATCTCACTCTTCCTTGTTGAGAAGGGCACCAAGGGGTTTTCACTTGGCCAGAAAATACAGGCAGGTCTGAGCCTTGAAGCTTCGCTCGCAATCTTTCAACTGTTCGTGAAGTGGGCTCTCCTTAAGAAAGCGTTTGTTCAGCTTTCAGCATGTGGGCCTTGGATCTGCAGGACAAGTGCGGTATGCGGGCCTCAATGACGGCAGAGTTGGTTTTCCAGGTGCCGCAACCTTCTTACCTAAAGCAGTGGTGCAGGCTTACGCAAGGTGTTTGCTCAGGATTGCCGTGTGCCTGCGTCCAACCTCGTTGGTGAAGAAGGCTGCCTCGCGCATCTTGCAATCATCTGCTCACCACGGTCTGCTCAACCTATGTGGGGGCAGGCAAAGCAGCGCTGTGCATGATGAGGAACCTGGAGATAGAGAGAGCCACCAACTGAGCGGGCAGGGCTTCAGGCCCCCATTGTGGATGCAATTCTACCGGCATGCAGCGTAAATTTGTGTGTGTGTGTGTTGTAGCAAGCAGCGGTGACAAAAGCTCTCAGACCATTCTGATTATGAAGCGCAAGCAACACTTCAGCCAAGGGCAGGGCTAGATGATTTGCAGCGCCCCGGCTGTTGGATACGTCCTCACCTAGAACATAGGGGTGTAGTTTTCAGGGGCCCAATTTGCAGAGGAGCGCGGAATACCCCGAATCTGGCTTTGGAGCGCACCAACGCGGAAAACGCGCAATGTCCAGGTTTGGGCATGAGTGCTCTGGTGATTCTGGTCACCACATACTCTCCGGGATAGCGATGGACGCCCTAAGGGTTTGGCTATTGGACGTCGCTATGGTTCGGTGCCGGGAAACGGTACTGTACATACTGTACCAAACATGGTGCAGGGAAAGCATCCCATAGGCGGATACATGAAGACCCCCTTGCACCATCAGATGGTATTCTGAGCCAGCGACTGTTTGACATTGAGGTCGCCCTCGCAGCGATGAGCCTAGGCATTGCCAGGAGGTGCATCGAGGAGATGAACAGGTGCGCCATTTGCTTCCAGAAAGTGTCTCACTGCTGTGCCTGGCCCTTTGTGTTATCAAAGTTTCCACCATCTTGCCTGAAAAATCTAGATTCTAGATTCTTTAGCGCTAGCGCCTTTGCCGGCGGCACGTTTCTGTTTCGTAGGCAGCCCCCGTGCTGACAGCGTCTGACAGCAAAACCTTGGTAGAGTTGCAAAGCGGGATGCCAGGTATGCCAAGGATCGGAAGGCCGGCGCCCAAAAGCTCAATCGCCAGCAGTTCCTGCAGTCCTTAGAAAGCGGTGTCTGCAGTAGCAATGAGCCCCAAACCCGCGGCCACGCCATGGTTCAGGCCTTTGGTTCTCAGCTGAACAGCTTTGGGCAGATTCAGAGATTCATTGCTGAATCCTACGCCGAATACCAGGCTCCGCCGTCTATGCTGCTCAGATAATGTGCATGAAGCAGCTATACATCGTTTACAGGATATACACATATATATGTGGGTATATATACATATATATATGCACGTATTCATCTGTCCACTGTGCTGCTTTCGTTTCAAGGCTGCTGAACAAAGGCTTGCCTTGCATGTTGAGGCGGGCCGCAGCTACGTGTACCAGACGGCCAAGCACCTCAAGTTGGAGTCCGTAGGACAACCTGCTTGCAAACTATCATCATGAGTCTTGCAGTACTAGAAGCACGGTCATAGCGCTCTGCCGGAACAACCTGCGGATTGCAACACATGACGCGGCACGGCAACCCCTTGTTGTTTGTATCATGACATCTGAATGTAGGGTTCACCACGACGACTTCAGAACGCATGGGCAAGTGAATTCGCAACGTTGGCAGCTCAATGCTTTGGAGAGGAAACGGCCTGGACGCTGACGGTGTGAAGTTGTACTGTGGCCACATGGGCAAGATGGTGGCTGACCGCGCTATCCAGGTTCGCAAGTGCCAGCCTGATTGAGCCATTGAAGGCTTGACCAACACTTTCAAGGTACTAGGTGGGTATGGCTATGTTGGTGAATACAACGTGGAGAGGCTCTGGCCAGAGCCTGAGCTTTCAGAGCAGAGCGGCAGAATCGGAAGTCCTGGCACTTGCAAATAGCAGACTAACAAAAATGCGATCCGAGGCGCGATGCCAAGCTTCTTGAGATCGGAGGTGGCACCAACGAGGCAAGGGCTGGAGACATTTCAAAGAAAGGTCCAACAGGTCACTCGAAACTGAGGCACACCACAAGAACATCGTACGAGACCTCTCCCGTCAGGCGACCGCAAAAGCTTGGTAGTGCACTTGAGGAACCGCATGCGCAATGCTGCCCGTCATGGCTGCTGCACAAGAATTGAGCTATAGCAATCCGCGTTGGATGTCACATCTTGCTCCTCTCGGTTCCCAGCACGCCAGCTGCTCTTAGGCGTCCTTGAGCCAAGGTAGATCCACCTCACGAATCAAGCAGACTGATGTAACTGTCAAGTAAAAGCGCATGCAAAAGTCTCCAACTTGAACTGGAGGCATATACGTCTGTCTCTGTAATTAGACTTAGACTGCGCAAAAGATGAAGAATCTGAAGTGCTTACTTGTATGGGTTGTACAGATACTCAGAGCTCCTGCCACAGTTTCCCCCCCCCCCACATGTCCGAGTCACTTGATGAAGATACAGGCAGGGACTCTATGACATTTGCGGAAGTTCCTTGCTTCCTTGAACGGCTTTTAAGCAAACGCCGCACACTGCCAGGCAAAAAAGATGGCTCTGCAGCTAACAACTGCGGCTATGTGCTTACAGTTTGGGCAGCGCTGGGCCCCTTAGTTGGATTTCAGTTCAGCTTTGATGAACTCAGGCAGTATGTGTCCTTGCTTAATGCACTCCGGTTTGTAGACCGCAGTGCTGTTTTATGTGGGTGGTTGTCAAAATTACGGCACCTAACACTTAGGGCACCCAAAAAGGGACCACAATTTTGACAACCAGCCCTGTGAGGCTTTCTCCATGGGGCCCACTGGTGGGTCTTCCCTTGCCTTTCAGCCCGGCCAGATGCCAGACAGGATTGACAGGGCAATTACAGAGTGTATATAATACCCTATTATATCATAGTAGTTTCCATTTTCCTTTCCATTATCCCAACATAAACCCCGATATAGCCCCTATTATATACACTATGACATTAGTATAGTAGTTTCGGAGACTCCCAAAGCCAGGGAATGGGGCGCCTGCGAGCCTGCAGGAGTGGCTTTGTCGATGGCACGCCGCTTCCTATATCGCGGGCATCGTTGTGACAGCTGTAGGCACGCCATGAAACGTGTGAAGCCGCTTTGCTTCCGACAGATCCTCGCCCGTAGGAAGTTAGAGGCAGCAAAAGTTGGCTGGGCCGCGAGTTGCATACGACGGCTGAGTCTGTTTCAGGTGGCGGCTACTGCCGGTCAGGAACAGCTCGAGTTTGCCCGGGTGGTGAGGACATGACACTCGCTTCGATAGTTAGAAGCGATTGTGGCGTCTTTGAAGACATTTAAAGATCTGTTGTCGGTCATGATGGACTGCGTGCCTCAGTGTTTTTAAACAAGGAGTCCTCACTGCCTTTTTACGGAGCAAACCACCGCCTACCAGATCATCTACATACTCCATTACGTGGGTCTCGCCTGGAACTTTGCTCACTGGGTCATGGATGGCTTCCACCTGTGGTGGCAGTCTCAGGCTGCAAAATTACAGCTTACTCGACCTGTCGAAATCGGAATTCGCTGCTTTGAACAGCAACTTAGGTCCTGGTCGAAGCAGCTTGCGCGTGGAGAGCCTTTGAGGCCTGGGAGAGAAGTGGCACCACTTCACTTAGGCTGCGTCCGCTAACGAGGGGTGATTAGGGCTGACATAGAGGACTGCTTGCCGGCGTATTGCCAGATGGAGGTGTCCAGCGGTTCTAATAGATAATAGATCCGCGCAAGGCTTTTTGCGACCAACGCTTCCTTGGGCAGCGTCTCGTCTCGCACGAGTTGGTAGGGGTTGCGGCTGACGGGGAGCCTGGGGTGACATGCTACTCTGCTGCTCCGGCTGCTCCTTGCTCTCCAGAACAGCTTGAATTGACAACAATGGGGGGATTCTTCTTGCGCGTGTTTGCGCATCTAAGGCTACTTGTACAGCTCCATCGTCTGGCTAGCAGTGGCGCTGGCCACACTCACCTGGACGCAGACTGGCCTTGTTAAGATTTGTAAACGTCGCCAAGTGGTTCATGGAAGAGGCAAGAGCATACATGGCGTAGGGCAGTCAAACTTGAGTGCTGGGACTGTTGTGTGTGTTCTTCAAGGGTGATTTTCCAGTGGACGACTGGCAACGCAGAGCAGCCCAGCACTTTGAATACGCTGGCCGGCATATTGCTCATAGCAACCTGGCTGCTGATCATGGTTTCGGCTTTCATGTGATGCGATATGCGGCAGGTCCTGCCAGTACAGGTGTTGGCTGTGGAGGTCAGGTACTATGTAGATCAAAACAGTCTCGGACTATCAGAGTGCCGTTTACTCGTCCGGAACAAGGGGAAACGCACATCCCGATCCAGACCTTGATCCAGAGATCCGGAACAAGTCCTCGAATGCTGTTCCAGACCCCTCCATTTTCAGACCAAGGAATGCAATATCTCAAAATTGACGGTGCGCTGGGTATCCGTTCCATACCTGTTCCATGCAAAGTATTTAGCACATGCTCTGACTTGTGGGAACTAGATCCATCCAGACCCTCCGGATCAAGTGTGCGATCCAGACCCTCCGGATCAGACAGCATAGGAACGTGAATGCGGGGCACGTCGTTTTGATCAGTTGCCATTTTGCCATGCAAGTCCATACTGTCCGTGCATGCGATAGCACGCGACAGTAGCACGCAAGAGCGTTGGTGTAGCCATTATACCGGAAGCGGTGACACCACAGGGGCATGTGTAATAACTCCGCTGTCAGAAGTTATATACAAGGGCGGTCCTATTTGTTGCTTCCCTTGCAAAACGATAACCAATACAGCAACCAACATATCAAACAAAGAAAAAACAAACGATAAAGTGTCTCATATAGGATAGGAAGAGTGGCCACAGGGTTTTCACACGAGCCCACATCTGCAAAAGCAGGTTTCTGTTTCCCACTCACAGCCTGGCAACCCATGACCCTGTGCAAGCCACACTGCAGGAGTTTATCGCAGTGCTGCTGATCTCTTGCCAGGGCCTCGAGCCACAAGCAGCCGAAAACATGTGACGCTCTAATCAGATGCTTCTCTCAGTAATCATTGGGCGCGTCCTGTACCGACAATTGCACAGCCTCCTACATAGTTGTGGCTTGTGCACATATATTGAGGCCTAGTGCTGCGAACATGGCGTGTCATCACTGCGGGCAAGCTCTCTGCCGGCCCTGTGCATCCTCGCTGCATTGCCCAGATCTGTTTTGCTAATTTGCTACTGTCAAGGGGAGTCCTACTTGCTTAGCACCGCAGAACCTGACGAGTAGCAATAGAGAACCGAAATTGCAGGCGCATGTGGTTTGATTCCAATAATCTGAAGATGGAAGTCGTTTGCTTTGTGCAAACCTAGGTAGCTAGGACGGGGAGTCTGAGCGCGACGCGAAGCTCTTGAACGAGGGAGGCTTGCAAAGCAACCGCCCGCTACGTAGGTGCTTCTTTATGCTTGGCTGCTTCTGGAGGCCTAGCTTAGTTGTTCCTCACTTAGGTGCCTCTGCGCATCTTCTCCCTGCTGCAGCAATAAAGGAATCAGCCTCGCAAGCATTATCCTTCAAAGACTGGCCCAGCGTGTGCTCGCAGAAAGAGTGCCTGCATCTGTGGTAGTGCTGTCGGGCCCCTCCATGTTGGATTCAGGGCTCGGTCTGCATCTTGCACACACCTGAGAAAGAGCTACTGTAATTCACTATAATCCCTAATATAGAGCCTTATACGGAGCCCATGTATACCCATGTCCATGCAATTACGTAGGACATAGAGCCTGTGATTATAAAGAGTAGTCTCCTTGTGGTTTGATCAGAGCAGATCCAGCTCGCAGGTGGAGAAGCTCCCTTAGCTTTCGCCGTGCTCTGGCAATCGATTTACTTCTGCCTTGACCCAAGTAATCCCTATTATGCCACAGGCTTAGCTGAGGGGCGGAAGTGCGGGAATGCATGCGAATTCTGGATTCCTGTGCGCAAGATAACATAAGCTGCAACAACGTTCAACTCTTGTACTGAGGTTGTGCATAAGTCATCCGCATGCTGGCTGCAGCAGAGAGCTTAGCCCGGTGGCATGATGATTCCCTAAAACACGGATGCAGAAGCAAGTGAATGTGCATTTGCTGGCGTTGTTGCAAAACTAAGCGGGAATTGTCTTGTAGTGCTCTGATGCCAAGGTTGGTCTTGCCCTGCGTCCCGCCAAATTCTGCCTGCTGAGCGGAGGGTGGGACATTCTGGCACAGATTTGGGCTCAGGTCAGCTGAAGGAACGGGAAGGAAGGTTAGAATTCTTGAAAGTATTGCTTATGGCGTGTGCATGGGACTTCCAACACGTAGGCTCTGTTTCCACCCCGCTCTAGTAAGCTCACCTGATGCCTGAGCACTCGCTCCATGGGCGACACCAGCACCTTTGGCAGGTTGAGCTCGCAGCCATTGGAAGCAAGTTCTTAGACACGTCTAGACTGCATCATCGCAGTCGCAGTTGCCGGAGGACAGAGAAGCACGAATGCCCTTGAGGGCAAACTCTGAAGAAATCAAGCCGAACCTGACAAAGGGAGCCTTTGGCCATTTGGTTGCCAGCAGTCCTGCTGTTTCCTGGGCGGTCTTCGGGGTCAGCATTTGGCATGCCTGTTGGCTGTGCTGAACGAATACTTGGTTGGATGAGACGGCAGAACTGGGAATTCATTTGCCGATGATGCTTGATCATCTATTCCTGCCGTGAAGCGGCTGCAGCCCTCAACCTCGGCCGAACGCGCGTGTAGCAGGCCGACGGGCTACGCGCATTACACCGTCTGTTGCGTGGCAAAAAATCGCCTTGGTGCATTGGCGCATGACACATCATTCACCTATGGATCCAGAGTTTTCTGTGCTTGTCCAAGGACGGCAGACTTGCGACGGAAGTGTTGCAGGTCATCTGGCACTTTGCTTTCAATGCAGTCTCGCCTGGTGTGGCTCAAGGGAACACCGTGAGCGCTCTATCAGCAGTATGCATAGCAATCAGCGGCAGCGGCAGTGGCAGTGCGGGGTCAGTGGCAGTGACAGGTGTGTAGTGGTACTGGTGGTAGTTATACTTCTGCTTGAGATTCCATAGGGCTCATGGCCAGTGCTTGAGCAAAGCAATGCTGCTCCATCTGGGCATTAAGCTCAGATGGCTGTTCAAGGCAGTGTCCGTCTACTGGTTGTCTTTTCCGTGATGTTGATAGAAAGCACCCTACTGTAACAGGTCCTACCTTGCGCTTAGAAGTGCAGCCTTAGGTTGGACCGCAGCTGGCCTCGCCATGATAGATGCAACAGCCTGTGACACAGAACAGATGCTGCTCACCGTTGTTGATGTCTTTCCAGAAGCAAGATGCAGAGTGACAAGCGGGAAGGGATAGCACGTCCTTGCACTTCGTTCGTAGGACCTGGGTCCACCAAGGGCACGGAAGCAATTTCGTGCATGATGCGGCAGTGCCAGAGCCTCTGCCAACGAACTTGAAATAAGCTGAAAACATCTGAACTGGTAGACGTATGCACCGAGCTTGAAGCGCCATCCCCTTTATGCAGGCATTTTTGAAATTTCCGACTCGAGTCTTTAGGCCTTCCTGCCGACACCTCTGTGGCTGGGGGCATCGGAGGACAAAGGCCTAAGCGAGTCGTGATTCAAGTCTCGGTGTCTCACGAAAGGTTAGCGAGAATGACTTAAATGCACATTTGCCAAGCTGATCTGCGACTCCTTTGCAACCTTGCAAGTCAAAGTAAGCCTTGCAGGGAAGACCAGCAGCCGCATAGGCTCCAAGGAGATCGCTTCTGGCTGATTCTCAGCAAGAGCAGTCATCTAAGTACTTTGCACATTGCATTAAGCCTATTTTAGACATGCAGGAAGACAATTCTGGGCAGCGCTCCTACTATGCTAAGATTCTATACCACGGTTGATCATCATCATGATTGTCATTAAGAAGCTCATTCTGTCTTTTGCGGTTCTCTCCTCCTCACCCCATTCTCCTCCTACGGCAACGATTACTTCTTCAATGGCTAACCCTTTATATGACCACCATCCCTACCACTAGCAAAAACACAAGCAAACTACTGGAAACATAAGCACTTGCGGCCATGCGCGCCGCCTTAGCCGAACGCGCACGCCGCGCCGCTGCTGCATTACGTGCTCCCGGGCCCGCATCCGAGCACCTGGGCCCCCATGATCGGGCTTTCAGTGTCTAAGGTTCAGGCTTTGGCTGATGCTCAGCAAGATGTATTTTCTGTTATAAACGCAGGCCACATGCTGATTTGCAGGCCACACTAGTGACAAGCTATGCAGGATTAGCTCGGAAGCGATTGTCCGTAGCCCAGAACCTGTGCTATGCCTACTTCTTTCAGCGGATTAGTTACAGAAGGAATGTGGGGTAGCATGTAAGTCAATAGCTTAATCTAAACATGCCTTCAGAAAGATGCTGCGGCACCCTGTTGTCACTGGAATAGTGCACAACGCCGAGGCTGGAGGTCGTGCTGCGGCGCGTCACGCATGCAGACTGCGCAGCAATCCCAGCAGAGGCGTTGCACGTTTTGGGATGTAGCCGCAGCAAAGGTGCTGACCTAGGTTTTGAGCAAGGCATGTTCCTTGTAAGTTGGCTTTGCTTGAGTTCTGATTCTGGACCCGCCTTGGCTTTATGCAGGACCTGGCCGCGGCCGTGCGCTGGGCCAAGGGCAGCGAGGAGGCCCTGGCGAAGTCGCTGAAGCACATCCAGGAGGGTTGATTTGGAGCCAGTGAAGCTATAGACGGACGACTTACAGGAATTAGGCCACCTCACCCAAAGCATGGATAGTCTTGCTGGCAGGAGAACATTACAGCAAACCCTTCAGACTGGAGGTGTGGCCCTGCAGAGTTCAGATTTGAGAAGCCACCGCTGGTACATCGCACCGAGGCGAATCCACGGAGCCCTTGCTTTGTTTGAGGCTTTGGCTGCCGAGGGCGGCGCTCTGATCGGCAGGTGTCCGCAGCAAATCCGACATTGTGAGATGCACCTGAGTCTGAGCAGGTCTTGGTTTGAGGTCAAGCTTCAAGCCCGTTTGAAGGACCTACAGACCTTCAGCTTTTTGGCCGCAAGCCATCACGGTTCCAATTCCTGCGCTTTCATGCTTGTGGGTTCTACGCCCAGGTTATGATGCAGACCCACGTGTTGCATCACTGGTGCAGCGAGCGGCCAAATCTGCCAATAGCGTAGCAGAGAAGCTGAGCTGGGAGGCAGGATGAGGGACCCACAGGGACCCAGATCATTCAGGGGCTGATATGCCCGAGAAGCCATACCAGTATCATCGGGACAAACTGTCCCATACTGTGTCTGGCATGCGTTGGTAGCAGTTCCGTGGAGCAAGCGCAGAAGCACGTAGCAACTGTAGTCACTATGTGACTATGTGCTTTAGAATGACATCCCCCGTGCAGAAGCTTTCAGCCTGAACAGCCTCGCGAGAAACCTGCAAGCCGACTCCCCCGCAAGGATGATGGTGTCTTTGCAGACGAGGCAGCTTGGCTGCAAGTAGCCCTAGCAAGATGGTAGAGTATGGACAGGTAATGTGGTCTCAAGTGTCTGCATCTCGCAAGAAGGCACCAGAGTCATCAGCTGCTCCGGACAAAGCGCCAGAGCCCCCTCCAGAGTGGACAGGGACAGGAGGCTGCGGGAAACGGACTGGGCCCGTGAACCTGCTGGTCTATATCTGCTAGGGCTAGGCTGTTGTTGCGTACATGGATTTCACTGCCAACTTGATGAGTCTACCGACGTGAAAAGGCGGTCTTGCAGAGCTCTCATAGCTAGGCGGGGTGTTGGCAGGTAAGGATTTTGAGGGATTTAATTTCTCGTCCAGCTGCTGGTGATAAGGTCAAAGGCCAGCCTGGTAGGATCAGGGAGTTGTGGTAGTTCTCCAAGGATGGGGACTGTGAGGTTGCCAGTGATACCAGTTACTAAACCGGCCCATGTCTGTCATTTGAACACAGCTTTCTACTAGAAGCTGCTTGAGTTGATTTTCTGCAAGGCACCGAGGATGCCCTCAAGCCTGCCGTGCTCGGTCGCCCGCAGGGTAGAGAGGCTGGGCTGAGGATGGCTCTGCCAGGGGGGCTGTTGGGGTCACTTGTCGATCACAAGGTGCCGGTGCCTGCTAAACCTGCCGCAGCGAAGGAGCTCTGGGGAAGGGCAACTGGCACCGGGTACACTATACCCTAAACACTAAATAGTAGTTTCCATTTTCTTTTCCATTATCCCAGCATAACCCCAATAAAACCCCTATCTACTTAAGGGGGACCATGTGAAGGCATATATAAATATGAACCTCGTCTGAACCGACAGGACGCAAACGTCGCCCCCCCAGCGCCCTCGCGCTGCTGCTGTTGCCGACGTCGTGCCGCTGCTGTGGTGGACAAGGTCTTTCCAAGCGCGTTGGCGTGAACTATAGCAAATGCTCATCCCACGCCCCGCTTGATCAGGCCAACACAGAACAGTCTCCAGTGCAGTCCGAAAAGGACTTCCTGCTGCCGTGAACGTTGGCCAAAGCGAAAAAGATCAGCTGTGGCCGCTGGACATGTCAAGAGGGCCATCAAACAAGCAATCAGATCATGCCTTTCACTTTTCAGTTGAATATGCCTTTGTGACCACTACCCAGACCATTGTTGCTTTTAAGAAGCTTCGACCTCAGCCAGGCTATGCTACACGCTGGCAAAAGGGAAGGAAGCCTTCGCCCGATGTCCCATCCCTAGAAGTGGCCTGCTCGACACGTCAGTTTCCAACAAGGTTTGGATCAGCTCCGTTAACAGTAAGTAGGCTAGGTGACCTTCCTGAGCCTCCCCCCCCTGACCTAATCTCATCGTTCTGCGTATTTGGAAGCTAGAGTGCATGTGAATCACAAGTTCAGAGATGAAGTCCTCGGATCATATCTTCCAGCTTTCTGAGTCCCAGAAAACTCCCTGAGACCACAGGCCGTGAGCCAGGTTTTCCATCTTGCAGCCCCTGTCAGCCGGGCGCCTGAAAACGCTCGTTGTCTCGAGCTTCATTAGGGCACAAACTGGACTTGACTTATGAAGCATTGTCAAGGCTCCTTGCACAGGGTTAGGGATCATTTTGGGCTGAGGTATCTCCTCTGGGCTTTTTGGAATTTGGGCCGTAGCCTGTTGGAAGTTTTGCCAAGGACGGCGCCGCCATGCGAAAGCTTCTGCGAGGCACAAGAGAACTGCATGCAAAGAGTGCATCCATGCATGGGTCATAAGAAGCCTGTCAATGGTTGCTACTTGTAGAACGTAACATTTTGCAGTTCATTACCGATAGCTACTTTTAGATATTTTTTCCGTTGGTTGGCATGCAGCGCTCCACACTTGTAATTCTGCATGTACGTTTCATGATGGCTCAGGTACACACGTAGCTTCCAATTCCATTTTGACTGGAGCGGTACATTCGCTACTCTGAGCTTCGGGCAACCTCTGCCTCTGCCACTGCAGGCAGAGGTGTTCATCGAGCAGCCTCTTGGCCCCTTGCCGGCATACTCCTGCTTGAGCCGGCTGGACATTTGATTTCAGAAGTCTGATCTTGAACGCGGTCCCTTCGTCCATATCCACACTTCAGTGTATGCCCTTCACTTCGGGTCAGCCGCCAGCAAGATAGCACGTGGCGGGGAGTGAGTGTAAACAGTGGAAAATTCTGAAATGCCGCCCCGCTAATATTCGGTCATATCCAGTTGGGCCTGTTCCGGGTACAAGCGTATTTTCCAAAAGGGACAGGGACTTTGGTGTACCACGGAGGTTGTGTAGAAGCTGGTGCAGCAGTGCGGAGTTGCTGCACCGCCGAGGCTCCACGTGCCACCTGGATAACGAGTGCAGGTCTCTTACACGTGCTCTCATCTCTGTGTGTGTGTGTGTGCGTTAAGTGAACTGTTGGGAGATAATAGTTTCCATTTTATTCTCCATTATCCCAATATAACCCGTATATAACCCTATAATATAGTAGTTGCAATTTTCTTTTTCATGATCCCAGCATATCCCAATATATCCCCAATATACCCCATAGCCCAGGCGGAGGTGATCCTTTGGCTGCATGCCACTTCGGCATCTGCCGTCGAGTGCTGTGGGCAGGCCTCCCATACAGCTCAGTCAATCGTTCCTGCAGTTTGCGATGTGAGTTGTACAGATGCCGGGCAGCGCGCATGGCTGTCATTACCTTCTGGAATGCGTCATCCGCAACCCCTGTGCGGCTGTTGCCGGCCAATCCTGCAGTGTCGGTCTTGTGTAGCATAATCATAGCAAGAGAAGAGAAGCCACGCAACAGCGCTCATTGAGCATACGGCCTCAAGAAGTTCTATAAATGGACAAGACGGCCGTGCAATCAAGTAGTTATCTTGGCAGAAGTCGGTTCCAACAGCAGAGCCTCATGATTCTGCAAACAGCTTCGAGACACCGTTGCCGCCAATGCCGCGCAATGATGCGCAGCTTGAAACGATGGACTGGCAAATGCGAGGGTCACAACATTTAGCTTTGCTGCAAGCAGCGCCGCTGATCATCTTGATCTTGAGTCGCGGGGTGACGTAAAAGACAGGTATAAGGATTACAGGTCAGCGCAGCTTGCTGCCAGGACTTCTTGCTGTCGAAGGCAGCGCGCCTGGACCGTGCCCTGCGCTCGCTGCCCAAAGCCGACCTCAAGTCCTTGCAGGCTAGGAGTTATTGGGGTTTAGGGATCCAGAAGAGACCATGCCTCCAAGCCCCTTTGAAGGTTTGAGTTGAGCCATCAAATCGTCGGAGCATGTGTTTCGAAGCGCTCTTCTTTATGGCCAGGCATCCTCACACAAGAGGGCACGCAAGCTACTGCGCAGCCTGTCCTATCCTGCGAGACCGCAGGCCTGCGTTGAAGATCGTCTTGTGCATTGCTACTGTTCTTGTTATCAGTATCATTGTTATTGTTAGGATCATTATGATTGCTCTTGTGTCTATCAGGCTCTTGCGTGCTTTGTGTTGTTCTTATTGAATCAAGGGGTGACTGGAGCTAGGCAAATGCCGACACTGCCGAGAACATCCAGAGCCGGATTGACGTGCTGACCGGCACCAAGGGCACGGCAGTTTCCTCCGCAAAAAAGATGCCGCCACTGACGGAAGCGCTACACATGGGGCCAGATATGGTACCTTGGTTCCTCACAATTTCCAGCCAACACATGGAGGCTTCGGCAAGCTCAAAGCCTGAGGTCAGTGTGCAGGCTTTCGCAATTGAAGCTCGCCAGCCGCTAGCAGAGGATCTCTGCACAGAGGCTGGCTGAACGACTATGCAAGAAGATGTAATGCAAGCCATAAAGTGCAGGGCTTGGTGCGTGACCCATGTCACCGCGCTGCTCACAGGCCCTTCAACGCACTGGTGCCAACTTAGACTGGGCACCCTGGCCGTTGGAGATAAGGGTTGGGGCGTGGTTTTCGTACTGTGAAGTTTGATGAAATTTGCTTCCGAAGTGAGTTGTGTACATGAAAAGCAATTCATCAACAAAGGTGCGACTCAAGCCTCTTAGCCAAAACTGTGATGGGCGCTGGCCCTCCGACGAGACCTTTGCACAGTTTCTTGGCCGCGTGGTTTGTACAGAGCAGTCGCACGGGCTGATCAACGCTGTTCTGAGCTCCGAAGTAATTAGTGGATTGCGGCTGAACCCTTCAAGGTCAGAGAAGAGATGTCCGTAGAATGTTTTCAGAGTCTGCCGTAGATTCAAGAGTTGCAGCACAATGCCTTGGAGGTTCCATGATATCCTATACATATATACATACATATTATACTAGATTATAGACATTAGACTAAAAAACAAGTATATACTACTGTATTCATATTCTTGGGAGGTTCTATGATATCCCTGCTCATCTCCGACCGCGGCAGCGAACGCCACCTCCGCCTTCAGAGCCGAGTCCAGCAACCTGCCTTGACCTGCAGTCTATACTGTAGCAGAATATATATTATGTTATAGCATAATAGTATATAATATATAGTAGAACATATTATGATAGAGTGGGTTGGAAAAATATTATAATAGAGTATAATATGCCAGAATATGGTGTAGTATAATATTCCAGAAATTCAAGAATATAGTATTTTATATATATAGTATAGTATAATATACTAGAACATACTATGCAAAGCTTTGAATTTGGGAGCTTAGGAGCCAATCCGCCCCACGATTGCCGGCATCGAAGAGGCCAAAGCCTTTGGAGGCCTCGGCAGAGTGAAAGGCTGGAGTCAGTCAAAGATGATGTTGTGCTCCTTTGTGGAGAGGCTCCTCGGATCTGCTAGCAGCCCTCCTGCGTTCCATTGCTGGAGAGCCCGCCGTAGAGCCTTGCTGACATTGGGGCAGATGATCCATCGCAGTCTATCGCTTGGTGTGTGAGTAAACGACAGGGGTCTGCGTGCTTGCAGGATCAACTCTTGAACGCTTGCAAGCATGAACATTGCCCAAGCCAATCACGACGTCTCAGCGTTGCATGCCTCGGCCATGCAGCGTGACCTACACCAACAGCCAGCTCAGGCACCATCGGAAGCGGGCTCCCGGCCCCAGTCGCGAAGCGGCCAGAATGTCTTCCAGGCCTTGGCCACTGTGGCCCTTTGATGCCCCTGGCACTATCGCATGAGCCGAACCCTGCTAGAGGCCACCTCGAGCTACAAGGAGGCCGCTCTGAAGAGCCAAAATTTTTTCCTTTGCCACCAACTCATCCCAACTCCGCTGTGGCATGATCGAAAGGGTTCATCTCGCGTCATGACCACAATATTGCTTCCAGTGGTTTCAAGACATGCTGCAGAGGCCTGCCAAAAGCTTGGTGTGCAAGCCTTGAGCCCACCGCCCGTCTTCGGCGAGGTACCGTCTTGGGATGTCTTTGGGTTTGGATGCATGCATCTGGCAGAGACACGTGCACGGATCACATGAAGTGTCTGTGTCGTAGACGGGACAAGGTCACACTTTCCCGAATTTCCCCTGGCCCTTCGTGGTGTTGTTGATGTTTGCCTTGAGGCTGTGAAGGGCGAGAGGTGTCTAAATGCGATTGGTTGAGTTTGTCTTTGGGCAGAGGTGGTGGAGGTCTTCAGCGCAAATCTGGATGAGACGCTCGGCTTGAGCATGCTAGAGATGCCTTTGGGATTCGAACACCGCGAGAGGGCATTGGCCGCAAAGTAAAACTGTCAGGACAAAGCACTGTTACGCCTTGGCAGAAGCAGTGAAGATCTCAGCGCCGAAGCAGCTGAAAGTGGACTCCTGGTTGCTGTCAGCATAATCGCCCAGAAGCATCGCCTTATTTCCCTTCAGCCTACTCCTCTGATCCTGCTGACTATTGCACCCTACACCAAAAAACCCTCACCTACTGTTGCCCTGCAAAACTTACCCCACACCCAAAAAACCCTTACTTACGTTTCCAGGACCGCTGCTTCATGACGGACCTGGGGGCAGCGGCCATCCTCCGAGCAGCGCTGGAGAGCCGGCGCCTGGAGGCCTTGCTCAGAGCTCCTCCCTTCTGAAGTTGACGGTGGTAGCATATAGGGTTATGTAGGGTTTTCAAGAGGGATAATGGAAAAGAAAATGGAAACTACAATATTATGGGGTTCATAGTATAGGGTTATATAGGGGTTTCTAGGGATAATGGAAAAATGGAAACTGCTACATTATAAGGATTACCATATAGGGGGTGCATTGCTTTCAGGAACGTACCATGTCTACTGTAGTTGTATATTACAGTATGATCTGCAGGTGCTGTCGCTGTCCGGCCTGGCAGTGAGTCACCAAGCTGAACTTTCCGAGTGTGAGCTTGGGCCTGTGAAAGAGGTCAAAGTGAAACGTTGCTCACCTTATCCAGGCTTCCGTGCCTGTCTTGCCATTCACGCCGCCCTGCGGTCCCGACGCTGTGTGCTGCAGCATCTAGACCTGGATGCCTGTGGCCTGGGAGTGGACTTGGAGGTTCACTGACCGCTAGGTACTGTATGCCTGAAAGTTGACGGATGAATTGAACTCGTTTTGTGCAAGAGCTGCTTGCAAGGAGGATCCAGAGCTGCCACCACATGCCTCGGCGGTCTATCAGAGGCTGCTGTGCAGGGTGCCTATGCAACTGGATGTATGTCCGGCTTGTACTCCAGGAGCCTCGAGCTGCTGCAGCCCGAGGAATCCGATCCTACCGTCACAGGCAGAGAGCATTCGCAGTCAGTTCAGGAATCGGGCTCATGCAGTGGCGTCAAGTTGCGCCATATTGAGCCTAGATGTGCCTCAACCATAGGCAGCAGCAGCAGCTGTGTCATGAGTTTGCCTCGTAACTGCAGCTTCATAATGTTGAACATGCACATGCCAGCAGCGACCCCACCGGCCGGGACATGCCATACTGCAGGCGACGTCGGCAAGCTGCTGTCCATGGACCTGCAGGACGCAAAACATGGTCAGAAGAGTGACTTGAGGTCGGGAAGCTCTGCCTGCTCTTGGTAGTGCTCATACCAGCTCATAGCAGGAATTCTAAATACAGTTCAGATGAGCATTTTGGGATGCCTAGCACGAGGTGACTGCATATTAAAGAAGATCAAGTCGGAGCACTGACAGAATCGATCCTGGACATGACAGCGCTGAAGCATGATCACTGGATCAAGGCATAAGGCAGGAGACCCAGGCTAGCCCACAAGGTCCCGCAAGAGGGAATCTTCAAAAGGCAGCTTCTGCCCCCAGGACCAGCGTCGAAAGGAGCGCCGAGCAGAGGTGCCAGAAACCGAGACAAGCTGCTTGGACTTTTATGCGCAGCTTCCGTTTGCAAGGAGGGCTTCAGGAGCTGCATGCGTTTGTTTGCAACAGCTCCAATACAGAATAGGAGGAGCAAATGGCCCCGCAAGATGATTTTCAGCCAAGACTCTGAATGTGCTGCACGCTCCTGGCTTGAAGTTGCTACTGTAGATGTATTTCAGGACAGGCTTATCAGTAAAAGATGAAGATCTCCGTAGGTTAATGTCGCCACACTCGACGGGCAAGCAGTGCAGCATCCAAGGTGTGGAGGAGTCCTCTTCGTCCAAGCTGCTGGGAAGTGTGGAGGACGCCGAGGAGGAACTAGAAGAGGAGGAAGGCATGGATGAGGAGCCAGTTCCGCCAACCCCTGTGCTGCTTCCAATTTTTGCACAACTTTCTGCACGTACGTGCCCGCTTCGAAGAGTCAACCTATCTCAGAGCCCGCTTTCAACAGCCTGCGTACAAGCTCTAGCAAGCTGCCTGCCAACTTCCCCGCTGGAAGTCTTGACGTTGGACGAGTGCGCGTTGACGGTCCCCGCGCCGCAGTTATTGGAGTGATGAAGGGGTATGCTTGAGCGCTTTCTTCAGGGTGACATGTCCTAGCCTTGCCGACCATGCGCGAAGGTTCTTGAAGTAGTTAATCTGTAGCCCAACTCCCTGAAGCCCTCCCCAAAGCGTTTGAGTCATGGATGCCCAGTATCTGAGGATGATGGCCCTAAACCCTAAACCCTAAACCCTAACCCTAAACCCTAAACCCACAGTATCTGAGGATGATGGCCTGGAGGAGCTAGCCATCAACGGCATCATCCGCAACCAAATGTTACTTGAGCTGTCCTTGCGCCTGAACCAGTTCAGCGGAGATGCTGGACCCCTGAACACGCTGCTGAGAGCTGCGAAAAGGCACGCGAGGCTAGCGCACCTGAACTTGGGACAGAATATCATGCGCCCAGAGTGCATCCCGGAGCTTTGTGAACTGCTTCAGAAATCAGTTTCCTTGCTTTGCCTTCACCTACTAGGCAGCGAGGCCAGCTATGCTCAGGACAACGTGAAGATACAGGCTGCTTGCTATCGTTGGGTCGCAGAGACATCAGGCATCGGCCTGCGGACGGACTCGGACGGTGCAGTGCTGGTGCCTGAACCTGCGCCCGGTGACGAGTATAGTGAGCTAATCTTAGGCCGGGCTCCGCACGTGGAGGGCCGAAAAGACTGGCTGGTGGCGACGCCACTTCCCAAACCGATGGAAGTGCCCGCATCACTGGATGGAGTGCGTGAGGAGGTGGTTCTGGAGAACTGGATGCAGGGCTGCTGCTGGATTTCAGAGGCTGTGCGACAGGACCCGGGCTTTCGCATTCCAGAGGAGCTGCCTGACGTCGCTCACGCAGAAGAGGAGATTGGGCCGTGGAGCGAAGATCCAACGCGAACCCAGGCCCTCATGCAATGTTGTGAGGTGGACATCCAGTACATCTACCTCACGGATCTTTGCCATGTTGATGATGAGGAAGGCATCAAGAAAGCTCTGCGGGACCAGTACCACCTCTACTACGAGTGCTACGCCCGTTTTGCAGGGCGCTCACAGTGGCCGTTCATCCGCTACGTGGACATGTGCCCCGTTCAATGCCTTGGCAAGTTATGTTGCTGCGGACAAATTGGCCCATTTAGCACGATGAGAGAAACGAGTGACAAATGCGCATACGCTACTGGTATCGCTCTAAGCCCATGACTGACCGGCTGCCCTTGATGCCTCCATGAGGAGCACAGGTGGCCGGGTGGGGGGGGGGTGGGGCGGGGAGGTTACATCCCCCCAAACAAGGACCGTGCATTTATGTGCATTTTCTTTTGAGAGCTTTCTTTTTGATATGCTCGGAATCACTGCCTACACATTCATGAAGTCATCCCTTCATACTGTAAGGCCCCAAACAAGAGCCTCCTCCACACTGTGCACCTTACTTAGCTCTTCAGGTATAGCGTCTTCGAGGAAGCCCGCCTAGTGGATCGAATCGAGGTGGGCCCAAACCAGCGCCGCCGCGCGGGTTCCAGGCGCAATGCCCAGGCAGCAAGTTGGGGAAGTAGTTCGGCCAGTCGCTGTGAGGTTTGCTTGAAGATGGCCTGCAAGCTTGCATCCTTCTTTTTTTTCGGGTAGTAGACATAGGCCGACACGGGGATGCATGCTAACTGCGGTCGGGCAAGCGCTGGGGTTTGGCAATAAGCCTCCCAAGACTCGGGTGCCTCTTCACGCGCGTCCATTCTTCCAAACTGCGTGTTGACATGCTGAGATATGCTGGGTCTGAGTGGGGAGCTCGCAGAGCTTCTGAAATGGAACTGTGCAGAGAACGTCTTGGCGACTCGTAACACGCGTCCAGAGCTCGGAGGACTCGAGCGCATGTACCGTTGATCGCATGCAAGGGCAGGTGGCGCGCGCCATGTGGCTTGAGTGCAAGGGTGTGGGGAGGTGGAAAGCCATGGACACAGCAAGCTAAGCACCCTAGCAGCAGCCGCTCCAGAGCTTGGAATGCTACTCCCGAATCTTTTGTCATTAAACCCTAAACCCTAAACCGCATTAGCCGGACGAACAAACATCTGGAGCCAGGCAGGGGCGGAAGATTCCCGGAGCAAGCTCAGTATGGCGGACGTGCACCAGAGCCTTGGGGGCAATGGACTCCTGTTTGCTACTCAAATTGATTATTAGGGTTTAGGGTTTAG